ATGCTAGAGAAAATTCTGGCAATAAATATATTTTAACTTTAATCGATACATTTTCTAAAAAAGCTTATGCTGCTCCACTAAAGAATAAGACAGGGTTAGTGGTTACAGAAGCCATTAAAACCATTCTACCAAAGGGGGTTAAAAACATTCAATCTGACAATGGAAAAGAATTTTTTAATCAATATTTTAGCAAACTAATGAAAAAATTAAATATTAATCACTATCACACATTTTCTACAACTAAGGCTGCAATTGTGGAGAGGTTTCAGAGAACTTTAAAGAATTGGTTATATAGGGAATTTAGTGCTCAGGGGAGTTATAAATGGTTGGATTTACTTCCAAAGTTAATTCGAAAATATAATAATAAAGTGCATAGATCTATAGGAATGAAGCCTAACCAAGTAAATGTTAAGAATAGTAAATATGTACATGAGAGGTTGACTTCTAAAGTAGAGCAAGTTAAAAAGCCAAGATATAAGGTAGGTGATAGCGTAAGGATTTCCAAGTATAAACATGTTTTTAGTAAAGGTTATACTCCAAATTGGACAGGGGAACTATTTACAATAGCAGAAGTTAAGAATACAAAGCCTGTGACTTATATCTTGAAAGATGAAAATGGCAATATAATCAGGGGAGGCTTCTATACAGAGGAGTTGTTAAAGACCAAGTATAAGGACATGTATTTGGTAGAGAAGATAATTAGGAAAAAAGGTGATTCGTTGTATGTCAAATGGCTTGGGTTCCCAAGTAGCCAGAACTCATGGATTTCCACTAAGGATGTCCAAGGGAGCACGTCATAAGCCAGGAGCATGCCCGAGTTCACGCACAAACCTCACATGATTTTGAAAATATACATGGGAATGGATGTGGATTTGAAATTTTAATAGAGTTTGAACATTTATATAGGCTTGTATTGGACGAGATCCAGGTCTTTTAAAAAAGTGGCCAAAAAATGAGCCATATTCCAGACATGATTTTTAGTATTAACAAAAATAGAAAATTTATATAGGGGTGTATAGGTCGAGAGCTGGGTCTTTAAAAAAGTGGCCAAAAAAATGAGCCACTCATTTTTCTCATTTTTCCCCTATAAAAAGTGCCCTAAAAGTGCCTCTAAAACGCCGAAAGTGAGGTATCTTTGTCCTATTATATCTACTTGAAAATTTGCAGATTTTTACCTCCCTTCTCCCTGCTCGATTTGGGGTCTTATTCGGGGAAAAAAGGAAAAAATCCAAAATTCAACGATGTCAACAAAACAGCACATAGTGCGAGCGCGTCAAGGTCAAGTGATCATTGGAGTAACTAGAACTAGCGGCGCTAGTCTAGCCTAGCGCTGGTCGCGGCAACGGCACATAGGCAGTGGCAGTGCAGTAGCATTGACAATCACTAGTCACTACACTATGAGGCAGGCGGGTGAGCCGTTCCGTCTCTTTTTGTCTACATAGGCCTAAAAAATACTCGTTACAAAACACGTGCTCCTGGCTGTATTTAATTTAAATCCTGTTGTAAGAATAGTTTTAAAGTTAATGATATTTTAAAAATTACATTCTGAAATTACAAATGAAACATTTATGTATATACTGCTGACTCCTGGCCATCGAAAAAAATTAACCCTAGGTCCTTGGGGGTGGGGGCTTAAGCCCCCAAAGCCCCCTCCTGGGTGCGCCACTGTGTATAAATGATACTACTAACGAAATAAAATACTACACATAAAATAACCTTGGAAGCAGTCTTGAGGCAGACTTTTGCTAGCTTATTAAGAGATTATATTCCTAAGTCGTCAACACTCCCACAAGAGTTTAGTTGATGTTTGATGCAACTCTTGGTCCTGGCTAAATATAAAAAAAATATTCCTTATTTGAAAAATTTAATTGGAAATTTTTGAAACTAAAAATTTAATTCGTATAATTTATTGGCACGCAGACCTACTCCGTTCTTTATCGACTTTTCAGCTCAAGCATTTTCCAAATCGACCGATATACCGTCGTCCGTCAAGCTACTTATAAAAGATTGCATATAGGTACTTGAAGAGTCACTATTTTCAGAACACCTGTTGGTACACAACAAAATTATCTATCTAAATATATAAAAGGCAAAGCCCTCACTGACTCACTGACTCACTCACTCACTCACTCATCACTAATTCTCCCTTTTCCCATTTACCTAGGAGGCTGAAATTCGGTACATCGATTCGTTGGGCATTAAATAGGAAAACTAAGCAGTTTTTATTCTGATCGGGCTTTCGGGCTCCGCTCCAGTGGCTCTGGATTTTCCCATGTTAACCTTATGATCATACTAATAAGTTTGTGTGTTTGTTTGTTTGTTTGTTTGTTTGAAGTTCAATCACGCATTAACTACTGGTCGGATTGTGTTGAAATTTGGTATGATGATAGCTCACATTCCCGATTAACATATAGACATATTTTTACCTCAAAAATCCTTTCGGGCTCCGCCCCAGCGGCTCTAGAATTTCCCATGTTAACCTTATGAGTATTCATATTTAAAAGGAATTGAATAATTTTGCCAGCTGTTTCAACTACACAATTTGTTTCTATGATATTCAATAGCATTGAAAGGTTATACGGTTTACCAACAGGGTGCAGCACCATTAGTTCTTTATACATTTATCACAACAGCTAAATTGAACCAAGCAGCAACAAAAACCTGAGTGTGAGAACTTTACTTCTTTCTATTGGTTAGGTGAAGTGGTAGAACATTATGGCTATGGTAGATGTTCTATACTATAGTAGACCGTAGATTATAGTAAACCAAATTTTCTCAAAACGTGTCCTCCCTCATTTTAAATGCAAAGCACGAGTATTTAGCTACAATTAGCATTGTATATCAACCCCGTACGGAGGACGGGTACTCAGCTAGTTTTTCATATTTAAAAGGAATTAATGAATCTTAACAGCTGTTTCAATTAAGGTTCTGTTCTATGATTTTCAATGGCATTAAAGTTACAAGGATTACCCAAAGGAGGGTGCAGAATTATTATTTTTTTTATTTATGGCAACAGCTAATTGCAACCAAAAGTTGAGTGAGCGTAGCGAACGAACTTCAACCAGGACGTGAGTGAGCCATGCGAATTCTTATGAAGTTAAACGGGGCAATACCCGCGGGTACAGCTAGTTTTATATACGTAAATTCAAATTATCCTTCAATTCAGGCATGTAGTAGTTCTAAACTTAGTTCATTATTAAAACTAGTGGAAGCACGTCTAAATATACAGGGTTTAGGCGTTGTCGCTTTGCAAGTTAGTGAATGAAATCTACCTAAAAACCTGAAAACTACACTTCTTTTTGACAGCAGTTGAATGAGTGGTCGTAAAAAAGGGAACAACTTTCGCTAAATTGGAACCAGTCTTCCGGAACATTCATAATATTGTTTTGGCATTTTAAACTCCGATAACTTCAAAGTTATAGGCAAAGCAAAGCAGTTGGAAGTTTCTGATTTATTAGTCACTTTTGTCCTAACACTACAAACAGTGATCACGAACCCTTCAACTCTCACGATGCAACAAGTTGTGCACTGTGTTTGGAACGTGCTACCGTTGATTATGTATACTCAATAGTATCTTCAGTATCCAATAGTCAATAATAGTATCTAGTATAATACTAATATAATACTATATTATATAGTAATTGTGCCACTAACAGATAGAAAACTATGTCAGTACTGAATTCATTATTAGTCGTGGAATAATTAATAGCCCATTAGCTAATTGTTTTATACCGTACTTATCGAACCGGTATTAGGATGTTTGATTTGTTTTTGGTTTATGATGTTTATATAATGTTACGTATCTACTAATTTTGCTCAAATTGTATGGTTTTCATTTTAATTCTAGTTTAATTGTAATTCATGTTAGAATTTTTGTTACGCATTCTCAAAAAAATGTTAAACTAAAAACTTGTATTTTATTTGTAAAGCATAAAATATGTTTGGTTTTTCTTAAACTTTTATAAAATTCGGTTGATATGATTGTGTGTATGTTTGATCCTACATATTACATTAGCTCCGCAGACCGCTTTTTACAACTGGTTTTATATCTAAAATAAGTGTGTAATTTTATCTCCCTCTCAATGTTAAGCAAAATTTTAAAAATAATCCCTGTATTATTTACAATTAACGTTAGAGATGTTTTACGAATATTGTATTCCTATAACGCAATTCATTGTATCATTTTACTGTATAATTGTTGTTTTACATTAAAGATAACTTTGTTCCTCAAACATAGTCTCAAATAAATACATTACAGAAGGATTTTATTTTATTACACAAATTAGAGAAGCTAAAGATATTGACATTGATTTATAATTAATTTAGACGCTTTGGAACTTTTTAGCCTAAACTAATAGCTTTAGGAAATTAACTTCAGAGGCATTTGGTAAATTTATAAATAGTATTGAAATTCGGTTGTGCGCATTTTCGTAACTGACACACAAGGATTATTCTGATTCTGATTAATTTTACTACTATTAAATTGGCTAATGATAAAAATGAATGATAGAATACGTCTAAAACAAAAGAGTTGTGTTGCGAATTTAAATTTCAAGCTGATAAAGGCGATCGAACACTTCCAAATTCATAAAACCTCAGCTTAACCGTAATTTTCTCTAAATTAAATTTAGTTAATCATATATTTTGGTTTAGGTTAAATCAATTTTGGTTTAAGGTATGCGTACGGTTCCAGATTTAACCTTGAGATATTCATATTTAGTATAGGTAGTTAACCACTCTATTCCATATTTAAATGATTCGTAGGATTGAATTACTGTACATGTTTACGGTGCTTAATACAATTAAATACATTAATTTTAGATCAAATACAAATTTTCTTATGTATTATTACAAATTTTGGTGGTAGTAAAAACTATGAACATTTAACATAATATTCTTTTAAATTTTAATATCCACGTCAAAATATCCCATAGTATTCATGTAAGAGCTTTGTTTAAATACGAAAATTTGCAAGAATAAACTAAGTAAAATATACTTACGATTGAAAAATTTTTACACCTCAGCAGTGAAATAGTGTCTGTAACTTTTTTTATTTTCACCAAAATAGGAACCCACCCTGATACTGTCTTATCAGCTTCATTTAATTCTCTTGTAATCTACATTTAAAATTGACTGTTCCACACACAACACCACTTATTGGAAAGTCTTACTTTAAAAAATTATTATTTAATTTATCACACACATCATCACCGATTAAACCTATTTTACAAGTGTCCAAATTGTAAAAGCTATTGCATCGTACACTATTGTATATTATTGCGCGAATGTTAACACACTTTTGTAGCTTTTGCGCAGCCGTTTGCGCCTGGGCAGCTGGTATAGATTGGACGCTCTCCTTTTGAGCTTTACTAGCCAGTATAAAATTCAATGATATTATTAAGAATTAAATTTATCTCAATACGATAATGTATTTTCAAATTCTTTGTAGTATAAAGAATCAATTTTTACTGTTATTATATTTTTTGTACAAATATTCTATAAAGTATTTCATACAGTAATCGACGTAAGTGTACGAACAATATATAGAAGGCTTCGTAACGTTAATCATCAATAGAGACAGGAGTGGGGGATTCTGGTCGTATTTCGATTATAACAACAGGCAGTGGAGTGGAGTACTGGAGTAGCGTCAACTGTAGCCCAAAGTCAAAGTCGTTGTTTGACAGATTGACATTTTCGGTTTGTGTTTTGAGGATTGATTGATTGTTGTTCGGAAGTTCAAGCAATCTTTGTTGACACTCTACCTATCAGGATTCTCTTCTTTTCTAACGTGAGTACATGGTTATTTTTTCCTGTTTGTAATTCCTGTAAATCATTTACGTTATAATCATTAATAAACATAGGCCTTATTCCGATTGATTTATAGTTTCCGCTCACAATGACTCACTCTAACCACACATGGCCTTGCTGCATATAAAGCCTTCATCTCAGACAGGAAACGAATTTGAATAGTAGGAATTGAATACTAAGTAGTTTGCACCTAGATTGTTTAATGAAAATCACCTAATTCTGCACATTGGCTTTTCGTAATATTTTAGTCATGGTTCTTATAACAGATGAACATAAAAGAAAAGAACTAGTATTCTCTGGGAGACCGTAAAAGGCAAGGTTGACTGTAAGAGGCCTTCCAACCTATTTCCTAGTAGGGAATGTGTTTTTATATTCTTTAAATTTACTAATTTGTTTTATTTTCAAAGATTTTTGGACTAATACCTGAAAGTAAACATGAAACTAAGTTAAGGTACCGTGTCTAACTTAGGCTTAATTTACAATAATAAGTTAGCCTACTCTACTTGGCTCTTATGGTTTTAGCGGTTCATGCGGTATTATTATTTATGATATTTACCTGCTGACCATTAAAAAATGACGGTATTTATTCTGTATAGGTGCCTCCAAACGAATTTTCAATTTTGATATCTTACTTTAACTTATAGTTTTTTACCTCCTGAATCCAAATATACCATTTTTTTTTCACCGCTGATGAATATTTCTCAATATATCGCCGTAAAGACATACAACATTACAATAAACGAGGTAGGATGGATAACATTTACAAGTGGAATGAACTGTGGGTAACTAAGCCTAAGATACAGCTGACTGTTTTCAACCACACGACAAGTAACTGGAAGTATAGTGGTAGCAAAACGGAAGTGCCGATGGAGACCAGGTCAAGTCCCTTCAAACGCACTCACCCCCACAGGTCTCCATCGGCACTCCCGTTTTGCTAATAGTATAACAACATTTGAACTTTATTAACTCTCTCTGATTCTATCATCAGCATTATGCCTAGTGACGTAATTTTACTTCACTACAACTAGAACTCAAAACAAAAATACTCATACTCATACGTGCTGTGTAGTGCTAGTCTGCTACGCCGTTACAAGTCCAGGTTAAGTGAAGAGAGTACAACATGGTTGATGAGAAGAAGAACATCGTTGATTAAACATGATAACATCGTTGTAGAAACATTTCAAGTGATTTTGTAGTCAATAATGTTTTCTATAATTGGAATTTCGTCACATTATGGAAATATAGATGGACTGGTGGACTAATTACATGTAAGTTAGTTCAGTTCTTATTTAGGCATGTCAGGGTGGTAGGTCGTGCTGTATCCTTGGTGACTGCATTAAGTGTTTTGAAGTTAGGTTAGATAAGGAAGGTAAAGTTTAGGTTATAATGTATCCAGATGTTAGTTTATGTCGCCTGCAGACTGTTTTTGTAAAATTAAAATCCTTAGAGAAAAACACTTCAAATTACTATTTTAAAAATGCTTGCATTTTTGACATATACTAACAACTTGATACATTATAACCTAAACTTTAACTTACCTAATCTAACCTACCTCCAAAGGACTTGATGCAGTCACCAATTCACATAAAGCACGACCTACCACCCTGACAGCCTTTTCTGACATCAAAAGGAGTTTGCTTACATTCTAGAGGTTTGGTTAGGTTAGGTTATGCTAGAATAAGTTAGCACCATTTTATTATGTAATTTTTAAACGGCGAAATATCTTATCTTACTAATATTATAAATGTGAAAGTTTGTGTGTTTGTTTGTTTGTTTGTTTGAAGTTCAATCACGCATAAACCACTGGATGGATTGGGTTGAAATTTGGCATGATGATAGCTCACATTCCCAATTAACATATAGGCATATTCTTATCTCAAAAATCCCTTCGGGCTCCGCCCCAGTGGCTCTGTAGTTCCAATGTTAACCTTATGAGTATTCACATTTAAAGGGAATTAAAGAATTTAGTCAGCTGTTTCAACTAAAAAAGTAGGTTCTATGATATACAAAAGCATTAAAAAGTTATAAGATTTACCAACAGGGCTAGTCTGCTACGCCGTTACAAGTCCAGGTTAAGTGAAGAGAGTACAACATGGTTGATGAGAAGAAGAACATCGTTGATTAAACATGATAACATCGTTGTAGTTGCACTATATTTTTTTGCATTTATGTAAACAGCTTGAACTAAGCAACAACAAACATCTGTGATAGGCAATGATAACTGTCAAAGTAGGATTGTTTACAGTTATGTTTATTTTTTAATGTCATGAATAATTTGTGATTTTTTGAATTTGTAATACTTTTTTTTCTTTATTCTTTAGGTGAAGTGGTAGAACATTATGGCTATGGTAGATGTGTAATACCATAGTATACCGTCAATATAAAGAAGCAAATTTGAACAAACTTTGTCCTCCCCCATTGAAAACGCAAAGCTTGAGTATAACTGCAATAAGTAATTTAAACTTATATGCTAACCCCGTACGAAGGACGGGTACTCTGCTAGTAAATCAATAAATCATTAATAAGGATAAAATACTGGTAACAATAATACATTTTATTAAATGTGTAAACTTATTGGTCTTAGAGAGTGAAAAGTCTAACTTAATCAGGTGATTTTCATATTGCAGAATCAGAGTTAGCTAATTAGTTGTCACTTCCATTTGCTTCACTATGATTGAAAACAATCAGCTGTTGGCTTACTTAACCCATAGTTCGTTCCACTTGTAAATGTCATCCATCCTACTGTCACCTTGTTTATTGTAATGTTGTGTATTATTACGGCGATATTTTGAGAGATATTCATCAGCTGTAAAAAATAATGGTATATTTGGATTCAGGAGGTAAAAAACTATAAAGTTAGATATCAAAATTAAAAATTCGTTTGGAGGCACCTATACGGAATAATTACCAAAATGACATCCTTGTTTATTAAAATTATGGAAGGAAGTAAGATAAGTTAAAGGCTTAAATAACTTAATTTTGGGCCTAATCTAAATTGAAAATAATAACAATGAAAATAGGCTAGTGTCTAAATAGTAAAATCTGGGTAATATAAATTTGGCCTTGATCTAGTTTAAATTTGTAAATTTGTGAAGAGAGCTTTGTTGTGGCTATGTTTATGCCAAAGCCTGCTAGTAAAAATAAAGAAATCAGCCTTTTGGCATAGAGTAGGCCTATAAGGCCTAACCTAAATAATTTAAGTTACTTATAAGTTTTAAAAGTTATTAGCCTAGGTAGCCTATATTTTACTCATGTTAAAATAATAGATAGACTTTTACTTTTTATCCAAGTTACTTAACTTATAACTTTAAACACAATATTGAAATTAAGCTTAAGTTACACTTTTACTTTGTGACATGTGTTACACTTCAAATTAAACAATAGGCCTACCTAATTTACTAAGTTAAGCCTCAAAGCTATCTCAAGAGCACAGGAAATAACAATAAGTTAGGCTACCTAACTTAAGTACCTACAGTCTATAGGCAAAGTTATTTTTATTGTGTTGTGAATTTAGTACCTAATGATCATTTGTATCAATCACATTGACGTTGTCTATTACATTTCAGTATAGCATATGTTTAAAAAGAAAATAAAGATTCTGATTCTATTACTTACCAAGTAACTTACCGTAACCATAGATAAAAGGAGTATAGACATGTCTAATTCTTTTAATCTATGCCGTAACCCAGTCTTTTGTACAAACTGCATCTCTTATATCAGCTCTTATAATAAGAGACAATAAACCGGTAAATAATTTTTTTACCAAAATGCTAGAACTTTTGTGCTTAATCTTAAAGTTAAATACACAAAGGTTAAATTACACGATACATGAGCAAAAGGCTGTGTTCTTGAAAACAATGGCCTTCAAAATACGTCAACTATCAGTTAATGTGTTAACTTGGCAAATTAATAATGATAAAGCATGGAATAGGTATTTTGTTTAATATGACTCCATGTCACAAAAACACTAAGTTAATCAAAGTGCATAACCTAATTTAAGACATCAAACAAAATTACTGCCACCATCTTTCCACTCTACCTCTGTAACTAAGTTACAAAATACATGATCATGGCCGATAAAATAAATACGGTAATCAAAGAGATAAGTAGTTACCTTTTAGTAAAGTTTATTAAAAAGTCTTGCATCATTAATGTAAATACAACAATAATTGCGGTTGTAATTATTACAAACCCATTCATTAGTGGTCGCTTCATAGGGTAGCCTATAACTTGAATTCTACTTCTTTGCCAGATCCAGTCCGAAAGATTGTGTCGTCAATTTAATAAAATAAATAAAACTATATAGGCCTAGGCTGGTAGGCTACTATTTACAGAATGTACACCTTTAAAAACCTTGGCCGTTAAACGGATGGCATGGCGGACACACTTATCTCACAAAGGGCTCATTCCAAAGTTCTTTTAACGAGTATATTGGTCCTAATAATTACATTTT